TCAATTCAAAATTCATGTAAAGTCATATTTTACAATATAAGTTTTCTTTAGTTATTTAGCCTTTCATATTTTATCTTTTGTGTATTAGTTAGCCGAGAAAATTCTTCAAAAGCTTTTACGATTTATAAATTCCAGAAATTCATTTTGAATAATTTTATATTTAAAAATACAGTGCACCTAAATAAATATTAAAAAATAATATTTTTTAAATATTATGGCAGCAAATATATCATAAGAAAATATTTAATTAAAACATGCGATTTAGGAATATGATTTAGCAATTTTAATGACGACATAAATCACTTTATCAACTTATTTCAACTTTTTAAACTTAAAAAAATTAGGTTTCTTAATTACATAAGTTAAAAAATTAGGTCTTTTAATTACATAAATTATACAGCAAGCTAAATGCAAGTTTAAAACTTCCCTCAAAAGAAATGTATCTGAAAATTGCTTGAATTTCGAAAGATGACATTAACCCTGACCTTCTTCTTCAGAAGAGCTTAAAGACACGAAAGTATCTTTTAGTGGTGAGATTTGCGGCGTTATTTAACTGACCCCATTTCGTGTAAATCGCACTATTCTTTCTGCTCTCTTCAGAGATGTGCTTGAACGTTATCATTATTACCACACAACTTTCAAGGCAACTCAATCGCTGTGTCAATCGTGATTCTTCATAGTCGTTTCTTTGAGAATTATTATTTTGTGAGCATGAAAACAGGAGATAAAAAAGCAAGCAATGACATATGTTTTTCGTTATGTTTGAAATACACACACACACACATACATATATTATAACTTTAAATATATATCTATAATTATCTAAAAGTATTATTCTACTGTCTCGAAAATTGTTTCTTCAAATTTTTTAATTATACATTGATAAAATTATCTAAATTAAAACTAATACAGCAGAGAGATAAGTCCTTGTTGATGTCTTTTAATTAACAATACAAGTAATTTTGCTAACCATTTGCGATCATCTTAAGCGAGAGAATATAAACAGCAGTGTACACAAACGTGCACGTTTCCCGCAAAGTTTGCGCAATTTGCACGACCACTTGGTCTTTCAACAATTCGCACTTAAACAGAGAATACAGTCGTTACATAAAGGAGTAGATATCTCTGACGATTATTCGGTCGGTACAATTTCAAAAAGTACTACGCGTACATGTGAAGCTACAAATTATGCATGTGAGATATATTTATTTCTTGACAGACGCGTCGTTTCAAACCCGCCTGCTCATTCAACTTCTTTCTTTGTTCGTGCTTCATATTGTTACATGAATACTACGTTTGATTGTTAATGCATACGTTTGAAATACAACATTGAAGAACTTAGAACGAAGCGAGTTCATAATTTTTCTTTTTAAACGTAAACGCGAGGACATGAAGTATCTGAAAATGAAAGCTTTGCAACTTGTCTCGTTATTTGAAAATCTATTTCTTTCCGCCCGCTTAATCTCTGCGCGAGTAAAGTGACATTTTTAAGCGCGAGCGCAATCATGCAAATTGATTCAATTTTCCGTCACAAGGGAAGATCTCAAAAAAGTTTCGCGAGAGTTCGATACTTTCGTCGCGAAGCAGCTGGGATTTGTAAGAGTTTTTGTTAAACTTTATACGACTGTAAATAAGAAAGCTCGCGTTTTCTGAGTAGAATGTCGTACGTTGACACTTCGTTTCACTTTAGACAGCAACGAGGCCGACACGAATCAGGAAAGTGAAGAAGGAAATATTTCGACGATCTTTCATATTCACGTTGACAAGCGAGACGTGATCCTCGGGCTTGGTTTTTGGGTCAATGGGGAATTCTAGTTCGGTAAGATCCGCGTCAAGTAAAGTTGCAACTTCCGGGAAACACGAAAATTGTGAGATCACGGTTGAATCTCAATCGCCGGAATCGCCAATTTCTGACATAAGAAAAGATACCGCGGAAAAACATTATCTTTGTGAGAGTAAACGTGCGCGCGCGCTTTGTTGGCATCTTGCCAACAGCTGTTCTTTGCGGTAGTTTATTGGTTATCGATGGCTGTAAAACGGCGACCACGTTAACATGGCTTATTAAAGTCCGCTATTGACTTATTAATAACGAAACCGTTGCTCCAAAAATTCGATAACGTAACTTCAACAGTTTAGTTTAGCCGAGCAGCGTTTTAATTAATTTTGTTCGAGATTAGAAGTGTATAAGGGAAAATGTAATTCCGATTAACAATCTCATTAAATATCATTTTGTTACAATGTAATATCCGATAACACTTCTAGAAATTAATAGTTTTATATAGATTATACAGATTTAGATAGTTTTATATAGAATTAAAATTATATTTGTGTTTATATCGTTTACAGATGAACAAATGTGAAATTTTAAATTGCGGACACGAAGTTATTAAGCGTATGACAAAAAGCTCTGGTTTTTACCGCAAACACAAGCGCCAACCATTATTCAACAATCAACGCGGTTTGGCTGATTTTTCTTCCTTTTTTTATTCACCGGCGATCATTTTCACACGGTCGTTGATTTATGCGATGGCTGACATTTTAATTAAACTTGTGGAAACGTTATTTTTTTAACTGGCGAAAATTGCATGTTAATAAAATCTTGCGGATATTTGTGATCGTAATATCAATTATTTCATCTATTATATAATTTCATCTATAATTTGTTTTTATTTAAATTGCTTCGATAGTTTTCTCTACTAACATCTTTGAGAAAAGAAAAATCTTTGAACGCCCAACTTCTCGAATATCATTTAACGAGTAAGATAAGCCAGATATCTAGAAAGATACAAGTCAGCGTAATATTTCGTCACAGGAGTCTATTTGTATCGGAAATGATATTGCGAGCTATCGACGTATTTCCTTTTGCTATCAAATCCGTTTCGTTTGCTAAAAGATTCTCAGAAAACAAGCAAAGAGGGTAAAGAACGCGAAATCGTTATTTCAAGATCGAGGAAGATTTAAAGGGACAAGGCAACGGATTAAAATTATATCGCCATCGTTATAATCTATACATCGCGTACATCGTGTAAATTAGGTGGCTCTTCGTTCACGCTATAAATCCGCAAGATTGTAAGAAAAACTTTCGCTTCTTCTTTCTCACAATAGGGATAAAAGTATTATAATAAGATGTTGAAAGAGAAAGATGGAAAGTTTTTTATACAAAATGTCTCTCTTTTTCTTGCTTTTTTATGTATTAAAAAATGGATTTTTTATTTTAAATTTTCATATTTTAAATCACAAATATAAGTTTATAAGTTCATCGAATATGGTAATATTTTGGTCCGATATTCAGGTATTGATTTTACATTTTGTATAAATGTGGGATATTTAAAATAATTATTTCTGCAGTATGTAATTATTCTCTCTTTGTTTTTTATACATATGCTATAGCGAGAACATAAGCTCTTTCTTTACATTCTCGATAATAACGAATTAATTATAATCGAACATGCATATTTGAGTGACAAAATTATTTGTCAATTTATATTCATCACATTAATGCAACGAATTTATGCGACGTCATTTGACACAAAAATAAAATCAATTTTCGAATTTCGTTTAAAAGAGAGACGCAACATTCATGTACATTCCGTACATCCACGCTTGCTGCTAATTGTTGAAAATCCCGACTATGGCAGACTCAATGTGACAATTTGACGGACCTGATACTCCCAGATGCGCTTTAGAAACTTCTAAATTACAGGCAGATTAACGGCTGACATCGGACGAATTCGATCGCATTAAGAAGAGCGCAAAATACGCGGATAGAGCGTCTGGAAGCCGACGACTAATGCCCAGCTCCGAATTCAATCTCTCGTCTGCTACGCGTGTAACTTAATTACGATCGTGTACTTGCGCCCGGTCGAGAGTAGAGACTGACACGAAACAAATCTCTGCTCTAATCTAACAGCCGAGGCAACCTGTTACTTGGTGCTCGGAACTCGCCAAGTTATATCAAACTGGCGGCACGAGATCGACCACGAAAACCACCGTGTATCATCCGTCGCTCATCATCTATCGCCTCGTTAATCGTCTCACCAAGCAATTGCGAGATATACACTTCGCAACAACGAATCGATCACTATCGTGCAATCGCGATCTACTGTCGTCAACTTGATATCTTGATCGCGATTTGTCGCGAGACTTAAAGATTGATTAAAAGTACTTGCGATTGGCAACCTTTCTAAACCTGTTAAATTCATAGTTTTTCAAGTGATGAATGCATTACAGAGAAAATAATAGAATGTTGTTCATTTTTTTCATCTTTTCGATTCGTTATTCTTGCAATAGTACATATTGTAAATATATGAAAGAAATTTTTATAAATTAAGAGCAAGAATAAATGATAATTTTTAACGTGCAAGATGTATGTTTATAATTATACATGCATTATATCAGACTTAAATTATTTTCTCTTTTTAAAATATTATAAATTGGAATAAAAAAATTGCATAAGCTCTTTAATCGGAACTCTTAGTTGCTCGTAATCAACATTTTCTGATCGCACAAGCTTGTAGCATATTTTTTTATTTAAACTTAAACTACTGTTTATTATTTGATCGTAAGTCATAACGAGTTTACACCTGAATATCGATCACCAAACTGTTATATGTCTCGCCATTTTAATGCAGATTATATATAGTTTGGAATCCGGTGAATCCATGATCAGACGTATAAGAATTCATCACAGTTTGTTACCAATTTACACATCTGAGAATAAAGTCGGAAGTTTGCATTAAAACACTTTGCGTACATTACTTTCATAGGTAGCTTCCTTAGACATATTTCCGGATATATCTTCACTGCAATCTACACAGACAGCTGTTATTTGATTGATTCCTAGCACACCGTATAATATTCGTTGTATACTATTAGTATTTGGAAAATTGACTACCGAACATGGAGTAATCGCAGTTAAATCATTTTATATGTACGAGTACGCACTTCCGTTCGGCTCGATCACGATCGATCGCTTCTAAGGACGTTGCTATAACACCAACCTGTTACTTGTCCGCAGCGCGAGCTTCCAAGAGGGGGATAAGGGGTGCGTATGCGACCCCTCGAGCGCGCTCCCTTCGGCTCCCTTTCGCACGGATGCACGTGTTCTCTTCCAGTATTGTCCTGGCAGCGCGCCCACTTTTTCCCCTCGATAAGAGCGCGGGAAATCCCGTCGGATGCACGCGCCGGAAGCGACCGGAGGGAGAGACCGATTCGATCTTGAACAAGCGATAATGCGCGAGTTCGGGGGGGAAAAGAAACCGGATGTATCACCGCGACACCCCAACGAAACGACCGTATCGTCGGGCAGGCAGCCCGGCTTGCACTGCCCGGGTCTACCGTTTCTCCCACCGAAGGACCGCCACCGCTACTCCGCCCCTCTCCCTCCGACCCTCGCCCCCTGTGTCAGTGGTGCCGCGACAGCCTCCTCTTCACCTCTCACCCAGTCACCGCATCAGCCGCGTTCTACAGCGAACGAACGAACGAACGCGTCCTCTTCCGAAAAAGCTCACCTCTCGCAACCCCACCTGACACCGCTTCGTCCGCGGCGCCTCCCCCTCTTTCTCCCTTCTCGCCCTAGAATTCGCTCGGCGAACAGCTCAGAGCGCAAGCTCGTGCCCCTTAGTCTCGAGGGTTAGCGGCAAGAAGCCTTCGTCTCACGGCCGGCCGATGCAGGACGAAGGACGAGACCAAGACATCGCATCGGGGGTGAGCGTGCGTCGTGTCGGTGCATGCGTCGAGCTTGACTACTGCGTACGCGTCGCGCGCGTTTCAAGAGAGATTCTATCGCGTTACGATTCGACTCGGTAATGGTGAATGAATATGATTTTAGCTGAATGGGAAATAAAAGTATGCGAAAAAAAAAATTGACACTGCAGGATTAAAGTGATGTGAGAGCACGGTAAAGGCAAAGTTTGAAAATCCGTTTGTATGTTTAAATTTAGATTGCCATTATAAAATTAATGCCGCATTTGCTGCCTTGAAATTTCCTCCTCTCGCGGCAAATATCGCGATTTTAAGCGGTTAATCATACGCAAATGTTCGCTGAGGATGAATAAATAGGTGTCTGGTGGATATAAATCTGCGTTATCGCTTAATCCAAGGCTCGCGAATATGAAACGATACGTAAACCAGGTTGCAGTGAATACATAAAGAGACGCGGCATGCATACGTAAGGTAGGAGCGAATCAAAGTACACATCGCGAAATTTCGACAACGTTGTATTGGTTTGACACGTTGAATCTCGCATGCAATATTATTGTCGGATATGCAAGTCGCGTACATGAACAAATAACGTAGCTTCGTCGTCGACGTGTTTAATCGGAACTGCTGGAAATCGAATTGCATCGTTGAATCTTAACTTTAGTTGTGATAAATTGCGATATATCGCGCGCGCGATTGTTATAGGATCCGTGACGAAATAGCATAATATTATTAAAATGCAGCTCGTAAATATTTATCCTCAAACGTAATCCTATCGAGAATGTACACATCTATCGTCTCAATACAATCGTAGAAAATTATGGATCCTAAAGAGCAGAGATAAGATGTATGTTAAGGAATCTCGCGAATCAGCTGATCGACAAGCTTGACGTATTGAAAAAAGAACTCCTCATGGTGTGAGTTTAGTTTACATTACAATTATTTTTAGTTTACATTACAATTATTTTTAGTTTACATAACAAGTAATTAGTTTATAAACATATTTTTATATCCCTCTTTCGAGCTATAAAATTTATTACAATTTTGTAATAATTTCACGAAGGAGAAATCATCGAAAGAGATAATTGAGACTTGATATTCTCCTGATATTATTCGCGTTGTACATTCATTATTCCCCTGAAGAACGCAGGAATAAGTCCTGACGAGACGTCACGCCAGCGTCACTACTACCTGATCGATTTCGCGCGCGCGGAGAGGAAGTTTCCTGGCGAAGGCTCAGGTCGGGCTCGTGCCTCGCCTGTATCCCTGCCCCTCCATTGTCCTGCAGCCCCCTCTGCTCCATTCTTGCTCGGACGCAGACTGTTCGAAGGGAGTGAGCGGCGAGGAGATTTCGCGATGCGCAGGCGACGTACCGCGCGCGTGTTTCAGGACACTCTGCTTATTATACGGTTGGTGGTGTCAAACGAGAGAGACAGAGAGAGAGAAAAAGAGAGAGAGGGGAGAGAGAGAGAGAGAGAGAGAGAGAGAGAGAGAGAGAGTTCCAGCACACGATGAGATGCGAAAGGATGGGAAGTAGGTGAAACAGAAGAGGATGTCGAACAATGTTGAACAGTGCGGAAAGTTCCGCGGCGGAGAGATCCAGGTGAGGTTGGAGAAACGCGACTCATGATAGAAATAGACCTCCGATGATGATGCTCGTTATCCAACTAGAATAAAAAGTATAACAGGTCTGAACTCCAAGGTCTATCTCTCGCTGTAACAATAGGGATATACGGCTTTTATTCTCCCGCGTTCTCTGTGAAAAGATTTTTAATAGATTTTAAAAGAATTTTTTTGCATTGAAATCGAAAGAATTTCATGAATTTGCATAATGTTTAACAAAATCGACAATACAAACGTATGTTTATGGTAGGTTTCACATTGTGTGAAACGTTTAATACCATTCAATATTAATAAAATATATAATATTAACAGAATACAACACTACGTATATATTAAATTTGCATTACTCAATAATATATATATATTAAAACATTGAGCGTTTAATATATGCAAAAATATTAGCAATCTTTTTACTCGTGCGATATAAGCACAAACAGTACGAGCAAAGCCTCTTTTATATTTTAAAACTCTCGAAATATCAACTTAAAGCTCAGGATAAAGCTTGAAACATCGGGAAATAACAACGGCTTTACTATTGCGTAGATTTTATTCTGGAAAGAGTTCTTCCGCTGACTCTGCGCCTGGATATCCGCTGTTTCAATAATTGGGGGATGGGGAAAATTGTGTTTTTAACAATTTACATTAACAATGGTGGAATGCAAGGCCATGTCGAGGAATCCTCTTTCATTTCTCGGTGCAATTCACTGAAAAGAATCCGTACTGCGCTTTGACCGTTGATTGTTTCATGAATTCTGGCACCGTCATTAAATTCTTACGATGGGAGAATGTCTTTGAAGCGCTGTGAAATGCGCTAGCATTATTCAAGCCGCGAAATCTTGCTGAGAAAGTTAAACTAGAAACGCAAACACATCGACTCCCTTGTCTTACGAAATATATTTTACGCTTCTCGTTCACGTGCTCTTTGTTAATCTCAAAGGCGCAAAGAATCGTTTGAAAAGTTTGCTTTATAAAATACAAGAAGATAGAGAATCTTCTTGTATTCTATTTAAATTAATATCTCAGCTTGCAATTAGAGATTAATGGATTATAAAAAGAAATTAGAATACATAATTCTCGTTAAACCGTTCCTGAACTTTCAAATAAATAGAATTCTTAAAATAACAAATATCTTTCCACGTAAGATATTAATATTTTCATCATGAAATGAATCATTTTTATTCTTTTTGCATTTTAATTTTGCGCACAGAAATATCGTATTAGCGAAGAATATTAATTTCATTATTCCTGATATATAATATAACGTATCGTCACACTTTCTAGCACCGAGGAATTACAATGAACTCCTTCAACAACGGTCCTGAATTAATCCTTTGTGCAACAGGACTTACGCGAAATACACATACATACACACGCAAAGGGACAGTTTCGTATTCGAATGTGCGGTGCTTTGTGAGCTTCGTGTCGAAGGGGCGGATACGCGCTCGCGCAATGTAGCGGATCTTACAATTGTGTCAGAAACACCCAACTACGTGCATTAATATACACAAGACAATTAGCGATATTCGTCACGGAACGAAAGTGGAATATCGATATTCCGATTTCGCTCTCCATTCAAGATAACCGACAAGCAATCTACGAATGAACGAACGATCCACGCCGCAGTTGTAGTCGATCGCGACTCATTCATATACATCGTCTGATTAATTAAAAAAAAAAGAAGAATCGGGCTAGTCCCGTCTAGTTTCTCCTCTCGCTGACTTGTGGCAGAAACAATTTTCCCTCTCGCAGAACTTTTTTCATTAATCCGATGCCACCGATGGCACACACCGGCTTCATCGGTCAAGAGCAAGTACGATTTCATTCGCCGATTTAATAAAAATCTCGATGGTAATCCAATTTCCAAGGTCGTATATTATCGAACAAGAAACGAATTAAATTCTTGAAAATTTTTAACTGCCATTTCTAATTACAGTTACCGTTTCCCCTTTCAACGAAAAATAGTAAAGTTTATTAGAAAAAAAAATTCTCGAACACAAAAATTAAAATGCGGTTCATATCTTTATAAAGATATTGGTAAAATATCTTTTTTTTTTTTATTAAAATATAATCTACACATATTTTTAACGCAATGGATGATAATCTGCATGAAAGTCGCACGAGATTATAGGGGAGAGTGTATATGTCGGTGTAGTGCGTGTGCGTAGTCGGCTTTCAAAAATTTAATCAAAAATTCCTGTTACATTCCTTTAATCTTTCGTCATCCAAGCACGAAATTTGCATGTGTATTCCTGCATATACGATAAATTTTCAAAAATAGTCCGTTTGCATTTGCGCGAATCTGAGAGATATGATTATTATACTTTATTACTGCACCAATTATAATTACTTTCGTCGATTTTATACAAGCGCAACGTTCCTGCTCAACGTTTATTTCGAGCGAATATCCAAGCGAATAGAATTTTGTAGTCAAATATTATTCCGACTGTCTCCGCGTAACTATTTTACTTGGTTTCATAATTATATCAGTATATGAATGTTATCTCATAACGTCATTTCAGTTCAGTCGCATATGCAAATTCAGCTACGCGCTGCGAAATGTCACCGTAACTGTTCGGTCCGAATAGTCTCTAATTTTAAAATACATATAAAACTTTACGGCTTATATAGATTTAAATTTTATTTAGCACTGGATTAACTTTCTGCGCGCATAAAGTTGTGATCGATTTCTTCTTTCTTTTTTATCTAACAATGCAAATATTTTTTCAAGTTTGTCTTCGCGCAGGTTAAAGCTAGAAGGAATTTTTCAAGTACGCGCAGATGACAAATAAGGAAAAGAAAAGAATAACGTGTCGTATAAATATGATATAAAGACACATGCTATTAATAAATAACGAGCTACCGGAGCAGCCGGTTATCAGGCAATTTCGACGGCGCGGAGATAATAGCGCGATATGCACGTGCCTTCGCACACGAGGGTGCACGAAGTGATTCAATTTTCCGTAGAGCCCACGATGGGAGGAGGAGTTGGAAAAAGGAGTATCGGGGAGAGTGTGTGC